TTTGTTTTATTAAAATTGGTTAATTCTATCGAAAGTTATGATTATTATTTTGAAATGTAGGTTCGAATTTGTTTAATGGCGCCACAAAATCTCAGAAATAGTAATAAAAAGATACGTGTGTAAAAAAAACGTTCTATTATAATATATTTATACTTAAAACACAGTAAAAAAAAAATGTTTTCCTTAAATTAAAAAAGGATGTTTTCTCACAAAGAACGTAATAGATGGCGTTGTACAAATTACAACCTTTTCTGAATTGCGGTGTTAAGATTTTTCGCAGGTGAATTGTATTGACACTCACTGAATAATTTATGTTCACGAGTCCGCCGAAGCTTCAAGACTGTCAGAGCCGTGTAGGCTAACAACACAAAGCACAAACACCGACAGAAACAGATAAAAGAGAAGTACCGCGTACGTCGAAATTATTCAACAAAACTCGAAAACTCGACTAAAAGTAGTAAATTTGCAATAAATGTCGTGATATTGTTTTATACCCAGAATCCCTCTAAACCTCTAATACGAAATAACTTTCCTTACAGTTTTAAGATAGGGATAATAACATCGATGATGACATCGATGTTGGCATCGATAGCTCAACATCGATGTTCGATGTTTAGGCTACTCAATACATCGATGATGACCATTATCGATGGTTTTTGTATATTATGTGTAGATACTTACACATTGTTTCAAAATTATGTGGGTATACACATCAAGGGAAAAGTAACTATTAACTTGAATTTCAATTTACGTAGAATAGTTATTATGCGACAACCGACAACGACACTACAAAATAAAGCGAAAGCAGTGACCATTGTGACATCACAGGTGACACTTGACAATTAAGTTTGACTCACCATACTGACATTTTTTTAGGTTAACGATGCGTTCAGGAATTCTGAATTATTCAAAATTTTTAATCTTCAGAGCAGATGCAAGATTTAGTTGATATTGATTTCGCGAGTTCGCATTGTTTGCAAGTTCCCAATTATCGATTATGGGTTCATTGACGTCGATGTTTCGATGTTTGACATGTGTCAACATCGATGTTAAAACATCGAAGTTTTAATTTTTAACATCGATGATCATCTAACATCCCTATTTTAAGTGTGTTTCCCACTCAGCGTGTGTTATGCGACGATCGTAAATAAAGCGCAAGGTCAAACTTTACGCGTTGTAGGAGTGGACCCCAGTACTGATTGTTTTGCACATGGCCAACTCTATGCCAACCTTTTTCTGTACGCCCCGGCTAAGTCTACTTCTATCATCGTTTACACGGAAGCTCTATCATAAACGACTTAGAACTTTGAGCGTATCGATTTATTTTGTTACCACTTATTCATACAGTAATGATATAAATCGTTTAATATTCTCTTACCCTAAACGTCAAATTCTTTAAGTAAAACCTATATTCGCGAGCTACGCCGCGGGCACAGCTAGTAATAAATAAAAATTAAATTTATTAGCCCGTAGATACGCATATTATGCGAAATCAACCAAAATTGTAACATATACATATACTAACGATTCGCCCCGGCTTCGCACGGATGATTTCTAGATATAGACAACAGTGCCACCTATCGGGCCAAACTATAGGAATTTTATTTACATATAAAGATATAATATATAATCTTTGGCCAAATGTCAATTCTGTTAATTAATTCATTATTCGATAAATATATAAATGTCATTCCGTTCGAATAAGCGGATGTAATAACTTACCTAACAATTGATAATAATAAAAGTGTGGCTTATTTTCATTTTACTATATCCAAAAAGTGTTTAATCACTAACTATGTCAATTGCTCGCCATTCACAAGAGCAAGGCCACACGGTGTTTTGTAGATTGGTGCGAATTCGTTCGAGTTCGCACACGAAGCGATATTACTGTATTTTGCAGATTAATAGCTTAAACTTAACAGATTAACAGAAATTATTGCTAAAAGTCGATAATATTATATTACGTTATTGCTAAATCATTCAGGCCAATTGATCTAATGGTATAATAACTACGTAGTATTTATCGATTATCGTGTCAAAGTCATTCGGCAACTTTCACTGACTTAGCGGCCAAGTTTCGCCAGCGAATGAGACGATTGTGCAACAGTTGTCACTTTTTACATAACACGTTGTCGATGGCGGCCGACTGCATCGAAGAATCCGTACGGAACTTAAGCGGACCGACAACGAGTTGTAGTTGAGTAACAGGGACTGGTCTACACTCATTCCATTCTTGTTTTTTTTTAATTTAGTCAATCAATTTATGTAGTTTTCAAAGATAAAGTATCCTCAGTTATCTTGTAGAAAATCATTACAATTTTAAAGACAATCGATTTAATACTCCGACGAAAAAAAATAGTTTTTATCTATGACCATAGTTTTATGCACACAAGTCTATAATTTAGCGTCATTTCAATCTTTTCCATAGGGTAATGAGCTTAAAGAGACAATAGGTATGCATAATTGCATAATGTTTACTTATTCGAACCACTTTCATTGTTCCGGCAGCGAGGGGCCACGTCTGTGCACCAAATCACGTAAAAGTGAAAGTATCCATGATGTGATCGCCGCTCAGCACACGTTCACTCGTCAGCGAAACCCATGCTCACGACTAAGTGTGACTGATTTCATCTTAAAAGTTTATAAGCGACTGGTCTAGCATATTCGAAACTAGGTCACCACTCCGAGTTTACGGATACCGTGTTTGAATTGAATTTGCAAACTTGGCGGCATTGTTGCCTTGGCTCGAAAGTAAAATAAATTTCTCAAGAAGTCTCGTGTCTGTGATTCGTTTCGGTTTAACATTTAAACATAATTGTGTAATGAACAGTATCAAAAATTATACAATTCTTTGTACAATAGTCCTGTTTGAAGTTACGGTTGTCATCAATTTAATGTACAATGTTATCTCAATATACATAACTGTTTTCACCATAAAAATCACCTCTTTTTGTTTTATGTAGCATTTCTGATGCAAATTGTTTAAATAAAAAAACCGGCCAAGTGCGAGTCGGACTCGCGCACCGAGGGTTCCGAACAAATCCGTAGGTATTATAAGTTTAAAATTATTTAAAATATTTTTATTATATGATATAACTAAAAATTTATGCTTTTCGCAATTTTTCCTTTATCTGTGCTATAATACGTTGCTTTGTACCACATTTTAAGATTCTGGGTGCACGCGAAATACCCTGTAGGTTTTGATTCCCTTGCGAATGTCGAAAATTTGTGGCATAAACGGCTGTATCTTTTGATTGCGTTGGCTTAGAAGTTTGATTTTTTCACAGCTCCAAGGGACAGTAGAATTGAGTATATGATATGAATTTCAGTTTGATACATCCACGCGTTCCTAAGAAAAAGGGTCTTGACAGACAGACAGTCGGACAACAAAGTGATCCTATAAGGGTTCCGTTTTTTTCCTTTTGAGGTACGGAACCCTAATAATAATAATTTTAAAAGACTCACGATAACAAGTGGTAAAATAAAAATGTTTTGAATATTGAAAAGGTCCCAATGTTCGATTCTAGTCCGCGTTCCAATGTAATTAGCCTGTGCTGACAATCTTGAGAGAAACGTTATTATAAGCCTTGTACGGTATGCGATTATACACTGCCAATCACGCAATCGATCGCTGGCGTATAAGGAAGTCCGAGACGAAAACACAACCAATGTCATCAACTCGATGTTCATAGCACATATTAGCCAAGACCGCATCTCTAGTAACTGTCTATTAATACACATCATTTCCTTAGGTCAACATTGATATGAGCTATTCGAGAATACATTAAATTGATGGAGTAAACTTTGAAAATTATTCGATGTGTTTACTGTTAAATATACCATTTGTTTTAAAAAAATCTGTATTATAATTGTCTCCTGTATCGTGGAGGTATATCACATACCTACATAAATTGCAAATGGACATACATCCAACGCCACTACACATAGCACGGCTGTGAAAATATAAAAATATATGCCTATTTTCTTTGGCTATCAATTTAATAAAATACTTTGTAAAATTACGTAACTAGAACACAATAAGAAAATAAAGTTCAAAAACACTACACTACACTACACTTAGCTCTTGTATACTATCTATCAGCTCTTGTATATGTCACTGTATTAGTAGTACTTCTAAAGCAACATTATTTAAGAGCCTAGTAAGCCATTGAGTAATCTGGAAGTGCATAAAACAAATTTTGTGACACAGAACGCATCTCGCTCCAGTTCCATCCTCGCTAGGTCATGACGTCACAATCACGGGCCGCATGAAGGTCGGCCATATCGATCTCGAACACACCCGTTATTCGTTCCACCGCACCGCCTTGCATAATCCCTCACGTGGCGCATATAAAATATATGAATTACGTAAGCATTGCTACAATTAAAATAATACATTGTTACATACAAAGATAACCTTTAAAACTTGTAACTTTTTGAATTGTTTGCGCATAGTCACCCACCACACACCTGCTTAGCAACATAAAATCCCATCCAAGCTACAGCCTATAAAGTCCATTGCGTGACGTAAAATCTCCTACGGGAATAATCCCACGGAGGGGTTTTTGCTCAAAGCGCTGGATGTAAATATCACAGTAAACGCGCAATCCGGGTTTGATCGCCGTCATCATCAATGTTTTTAGTTGTAATTTTCAGTTCTGATTTACATTGTGCTCGGCTGTAAAAAACTTGAGAGGACACTTGCATATCTGAAATAAAAATATTTTCAAAACAAGTACCTACGCCAACACAGGCGCAGCGCGGCGGATTAATTCCCCCATAACCCGCTCAGAAATGAGAGGAGGCCGGTGCCCAGCAGTGGGAAGTGTATGGGCTGTACCTTAATGACCTGTCCTTAAACCTTGATTTGGTATTTAAACGCAGCTTATTAGATGGTGGTCACCATTAATAATGAAAGATAGGTACATTTTGTCTTGCAAGTGAAATGTTTATGGCAATAATGATTCATAGTTTACTTATTTAATAATTTATTTTTGTAGGCGCCATTCGAGCTGAAGAAAAGACTGGATGAAATAAGACTGCTGGAATCACGGAAGTCCGCAAGGCTGGCCGATGTTGATACGGATTTCGCGAGGCTTGCTGACATGGCTGGCGACCGCCGACGTGCCTCCGCTACTATTGAAGTGCCTACACATCACATGCAAGGGTGAGCAAGTATTTTTTTTTATAGGATCGGGTGACAAACGAGCACACAGTCCACCTGATGGTAAGTGGTTACTGTGACCCATAGAATTCTACATCTATCCTCAATAAAGACTCAAGATGCAGATGCGTTGTCACCCGTGAGGACGAAGATGGAATGCCTTTTTGCCAGTAAAAAGGGTCTCCGGTTCTCTACACTCACCATACGAAACACAGCAGCGTTAAGTTGCTATTTTACACTGGTATTCTGAGAGAGCGTGGTCCCACCCCGGTAGAGCCGACCCATTCGTGCTACAACTATACTATTAATATAGCTGCAGCATGGCTCTACCACGTGAATATAGCATTTAAGATGTAAGAAAACACTTTCTAATATTTTCAAATGAATAAAAAAACTTTCTTTAGTTAACTTACAGTATAATTTCAATTCGATTGTTAGGACCAGTTAGGACGACGATCACATGCTTGCTCATACTCGTAAGGTACTTTACAAGCTTACGTATTCTATAAGATATCTTTGTGAGTATAGGGCTACTGTAAACGTAAATTATATATGAAACATAGAATCGAACATTTTATTCAATTTAGAATAAAATATATATACTTAAATATAAGTATTTATCACTGTTTTCATAACAATTGGTTCAGAAAGTACATACTCTTTGAAGAACCACCAAGAAATTCAACATTTGTAAAGTATATTAGTTAGTATAAAAATAATCGTGTTTAACTAGACGGCTCCTTGGTGCAGTGGCTTAGTTAGCAATGAGTTGCAGCGTTAAGGGCCGCGGGTTCGAATCCCGCACGGAAAAAGTATTTGTATGGCCTACAAGTAATTCTTCCGGGTCTGGATGTTTGTCCTTGTGAAATTTATGTATGTAACCACGATACAGGACAAAATCCTAGTGTGTAATTAACGTTTTTAAAAAAAAGTATGAGAATAAAAATAATTAATATAAATAAGAATAAAAATAATTATATAAGAATAAAAATAAATAATTAATATAAACTTATACTAATTAGTACAACTACTTGGAAACAATTACATCATTGTTTCAATTAATTTTTAATTGTTGGAAAGATTTTTCATTTATTTCTATTATCTCCCATTACGAGTTGATAAATTATGAAGGAAATTTAATTCTGTTCCTTTTCAAAAATATATCTAGAGATATTTGGATAGGTTTCATATCATTTAATCTCAAACAGTCCATCGTTCAAATCCTAAGAAAGTTTACCGTAATGACGAATAAAAAATACAACGCGTGTACGGATACATCTTTCTGATAAGGTCAATCATTTTAACAACTTGAATCGTCGTAATAAACATGATGTTGCTGAAATATAGGCCATTATCACACTTCATTTCGTATGTGGATACAACATTTTATGGCTCGAGTAATAAGATTTAGAAGTGGAAGTTGAAGAAGGTTGTTCTAAGCTACTACAAATGTGTAGTGAGTGAATATATTCATTAACATTAGTTTTATTCTTGTTTCTAGTACATGTTTTATTTAAGCCAACACATTACAAAAACACTATATTTTTATCCCATTTTTATTTTAATCAATGACTTTGACTTTTTTCTTGTCTTCTATGTCGAGTTAGGAGCATATTGAACATGAGTAATATTCGCATAATAGATTCTAAATTGGGTGGGCTCAAATAACAATCAAATGAATATAGGCCATAATATATTGTAGCGTTAACGAACATCCGTAGAGCCAGCCGCGGGCGGGTGTTGCGAAATCAGCACCGAGCGTTAGAAACTGGATGGAAGTGTTACCGCGGAGTACGGGCGTGTCCTTGTCACACTTGCCTACATTCAGTGCTCGCCGCCCGAGCCTCGCGCCCCACCCGGCCCCGACAGGGACTGACAATGCAACACTGCGAGAGCGATTAGAAAATTCCAACAGATTGGCGCAATTTCATACTACGGATGAAAACACTCAGAACGAAATAAATTCAACTCTTAAAGAAAGAGTTAATATAAGGTTTAATTATATTCGAAAAAAATCTATCAAAGCTGTAAAAAAAGTTACGTATCCTAATGAAATTCAACGTTTTGGAATTGGAACCGGAACAAACTACGTTGGCTGTAGCGACGGACGTGCCGCCTGTCGCCACTGAGGTTTCTCTTTTCATCATGATAGCGGTGAGAGGTGAGACCTCTACCTCTCGGTCCAAATTTCACAACTGTTACAGAAACAAATGCACAGCTGGTAACTGACAGTACTGGGTAAAATTATCAATCAATAATAATCAATACGTAATTATCTTCATATATTGTAGAATTCGAAAAAGAATTCATGCGACAAGGGGTACAGAATTCAATAGTGTTTTGTACATATATATATATACCGATTAATTACATATTGTAAATATTAAAAAAAATAATTAAATTTTGTGACAGGTTACTGTGAAGTTATGCTCTCACTGTAAATATAAATCAACTAAATTGCTTTAACTTAACCTAAGACCTAAGAGATTTGAAGTTACACACATATAAAAACTAGTGTCGATTAAAGGGCACACAGTATCCACCTTTTAGACCATTATTTTGACAAGGAAGTGTAATTTAAAAGAATTAAAAGGTATATTACATTATATGCTTTTATCGACTAACTGTTTGAAGCGACTGATAATGTAAAGTTTTTCAAAAAACTTGCTTTTTTTGTTAATTGTATTGAAAATATTGAATACCTCGTAGATATCGTAAATCAAATTCTATTGCGACTGGCAAACAATTTAGAAATATCTAAAAAATGGATTCTCTTCTGTACCGTGTTTATTTCATTTCTCATTACATCTTTTAAACTGGTTATGTGGTTTCTTTGTTAATGTACTATTGTTCATATTTCTTTAGACGGCTTTTAGAGAAATCCCAAATCGAGATTGGTACAAATTTCGCAATCACTGGACTGAGCTGCATTAAGTGAAAGCTTACAATTTCCTTATCAGATACGATTGTTGTTTTGATCTGTGATATGAAAATTGTCAAAATATCATTGAAAATTGAACTCTTAAAGAAGCTGTACATTTAAAATTTGTACATATTACAATAGATACATGTAAATTGACTAGCACGAATCAACGAAATTCAAAGATGGCGTCGCGTTTGCCTGGTACTTGGCGCGGCCGCCATGACACACTAACCTAGTTTTAAAATGGAACGACACACTAGAAAAGTGCTGCATACAGCGATTTTCGCCGTTACCGTATCAAAACGATAAATTATAATCATATAACTTTTTCTTGTGCGCGTACTGAATTGATAAATAGAAAAGTTCATGCTTAAATATATCTCACTATCATATTCATTCAATTATTGTTTCGAATCTGCCATGCTACGACGTCCTCGTGCAGGTAGCTCAGTCGGTCAGTAGGGCGGCAATACAACCCGCATTTTGATTTTGCAAGACTGCAACTCGTAACTACTTATCTGTTCTTCGTCTATTAGTGCAAAAGGTTATTACATATTAGTTACTTTATAGTGAACGGACAATGTTACATTATAATCTAAGCGTGACTTTTAACAAATTGCATATTAAATTAACTAGGGCCATATTAGCTACAAGCTGAAGTATGTTAATTAATGACGTTTCAGTGTCATGGACAGTGACAAGGTATCGAGCTAAAAATTAGTAACGCCTTTTAATGTAATAGCAGCAATAACTATTATTATACTATATACTATACTATAACTATTTTGAACCATTAATTATAATTTTAAAGTATTACCTTTTTTATTAATAAGTTGACATAATTTTAAAATTTAGCTATGATCATGACTTACGTTAATGAATTATGATGTGAAGGCATCTTACATTATATATTTCGCATACGTTTCCTAAACGTGTAAAGAGAATGGGCGCTTGTGGTGGGGAGGCACTTTCTCGTGGGGTACACGTTTGCTTTCGTTGATACCGCCACGGCAAAAGGCCCGTTATCTCATTTGACAGGTGCTGGTATGTCGCCTTCATTTAGAGAAAGTGTTACAAAAATGGGAGTCATTAAAGTTATGCAAAGATTAGTGCCGTGAATTGCGTTGTTGGAATACAATTAATTATTCAACTTAGTTAAGTTAATATTAAATTTACATCCAGATTTAAACTTGAAGTTATTAGTAAATATTACTCACCCGGATTTTCAGTTGTGTTGACTTTGGAGCGACCTTCCTGCAGGTTATTCCACCGATCAAACGAACAAAAACTTTTGGTTTCGGTTTAAATATAATCACCAACTAATTTATACCTACTCTGTGTTAAGGTAACAATTAATCAATTCCTTACCTACTTTATTTCATATGTACAAAAGTAATAAAAATGGAATTAATAAACTCCTGTATTATAAATCCTGTTATAAAAGTCATCAGTTTGGAATATATAAAAAATGAAGAACAGAAATTGGCAAATTTTATTATTAGTGAGATATTTAAACGAAAAATGTTATAATACAACATATTTTATATATTATAAAATATTTGGCATATCAGGTAGTTTTTTTTTAGAATTGTTTGGAGTATGTCATTAGAGGCTAATTACTGCGTGACTCTGGTAGAGTCAGAACGACGTCACACTGTGACAATTACTAATACATACTATAGTGCTGAATTACCCCAGGAAGGTCACCTCAACACGCTGCTTTGTCCGGACGTCAGTCATATTAATATCCTCTTATATAATGTCATTTTTCAGTGTTGAATTTTTAATTGTATGAAGATAACGATCATGGATTGGTGCTTTCATATTCTTACGTAGAAAATATATAATATATAAAGATATTTAATTTATATTGACGAAAAAGGTGTAATAATTTTGTCTAGGTAAATTGTTCTATTTTAAAAGGCTAAGAGAATTACGTTCAGACAAAAGAAAGTTTTTTTTTTTTAAAAAAAAGGAGATAAAAAAGTATAGTTCTTATTCTTCTTCTCAATTTTATTTTATTTTATACGTGGCTATGCAAATATTTTTCAAGTATTTCAAAAATACAATTTATAAATCA